CTAACCCCAGCGACCCTCCAAGTAATGGTCTTTCTTGAAGGCAAAACACCACATCGTGGAGGGTTAAAAGCAGGTAGCAAAGCATCGTGGAGGGACGTACATCTATGCTGAGAGTTTGTGCCAGCAAGTATCTACAAAGTCGCTGGCTACAATCCTCCATGTCACCATTTATGTGCCCAACCCTTCCAATCCCTTTTCTTTTTGCCCCAGCTCACGCCGGCGCAGCGGCACGCCATTGTGGAGGCAGCTTTGTCGGTGAGACCAGCTTCCGCACTAAGTCCTGGCCCTGATGCCGGGATTTGATATGATTCCTGATGCTTCAGTACAACTCCGCACCACAGCGGATTGCTGACTTTGGGCATGTGACGGCTCCGCCGCCAGGCGCTCCCTGATGAGACTCAGGAGGTTGCCTGCGGGGATTTTGAGGTTCGATCAAATCCGGGTGCAATCTGATTCGTCTAGACTGTGCGGCGTGAAGTCCTGCCTGCCACTATGCACACACATTTCCTAAACTACAGGAACCTAGACCTCTATACATCCGGGCGAAGCAGTCATAAAGCGTTGTTGCAAGCTATATTATGCTGTACTCCACAACAGTTGAGGGATGCGCAGCGGCTGTGGTCCGGGGGTGCAGGAGCTTGACCGGCACCTTCGTGCTGCAAAGGCTGCCCAGGCAGCGCAGCAGGCGGTGAAGGCCAGCTGATTTCCAATATCTGCTCAATAAGCTCAAGTGGATCTCGTCACTGCATGACAACACAAGTCTCTGCGAGCCCAGTGTAGAGGCCTGTGAAATACCTTCAACACTGAACTCTGGAGCATGCTCGGCTAAAGACTTGTAGGCCAGCCTGGCTTGGGAAGTTTCAGCTTCCAACCATTAGAATGCCTTCAGCTTGCAAGGCCTTTACATCGCAGCAGGCTCTGCCGCATGAAGCGCCCTCAGGGGCTTAATGCTCTAGAGCCAAGCACGCGACACCGTGCGCAGTCCTTTGTATGATGCGCAAGTTCTGTCAGCTTTTGCATGCATCTTGGGGTATTTCAAATGCTGTGAACTGTCTGGGTCGAAGCAGCGACAGGAAGGAGTAGTGTGGACCTCCCGAACACCTTCTTCTGATCGGCTTACATGGCAACGCAACTCATGAAAACCTGAGGCGCTGGTGCCAACTTTATGCCGGCTACGGTGAGGTCGATGCCTTAAGGGCACCCAAGACCATTATCTACTCCTTGCACGTGGGAACCGTCGGAGCGCTTGTGCTGGAAAGTGGAACTTTCAAGTTTTGTCGTTTCGGTGGCCGCTCTGTGACAGTCGCCACCTGTCGTCACCTGCGCTTTCTCATTTGCACCCGCAGCCTCTAAGCTGCATGCGCATGTCACGTAATTAGTTTCACAATGGCAGGTGACGCATGTTACTCTTGGGGCATGCGCGCCACCAGAGGGTGTCACTTCCGCAAGAACTTGTGATGAGAGTGGTCCCATGCATGCGACTATGAGTTGGATGGGACAGAGCATCAATCTCCGAATCAGCGTTTAAAGGGTGCCCCCCTTTGGGGGGGCTCCCTGCACTGCACTACAATGCTACAATGTCTGCCCACCAAAAGTTTCAGAAGCAAAGCACTGCGAGAGCTGTGCTAGGCAGCCTGAAGAGATGCCATGGCCTTTGGTCGCAAGCGCGGCAGGGATGAACTCGACACACCCCTGCATCTGGAGGCTGACATCCTGCATGTTTCATTTTAATTAGCTTTTCTGTCGTTGTAGGAGCTCTTGGAAGGCATGGGCATTAGCATCTGTTTTTCCGCCTCCCGATCCCCACACACCAAATCACATTATTCAATATTATTTATCAGCATTCAAGCCGTGAGTCTTTCTACACCATGCTTAACGTACGAACAGCACTTTTCTCGTTGGAGGCTCCTTGTCCTAATACCAGCTTGATTCTTTCGTTTCAGCCACTGCCTGGTCTAGGACGCAGCAGACCTGACTCCAAAGGTGCACACCTGGAGGCACAGTCTTAGGGTCTTCAGGATGGACTTGCTGTGTGGTGGTGGGCTGCCGTATGATTGAGGTTCCCGTCAGCAAAGGCCATCAAGCTGTCAGGATGCCCAGCAAGAACTGGTGATTCGCAGGATGGTGTCCTTCAACCATCTTTCTTCATACTGTCAGCCGCAGCCCTGTCTTAAGGCTCACGTCCTCCCCCCTCCACTTCACACTATCAAGCCCAGACTTGCCAGAGGTGGGCGGACATAGATCAATTCGAAACACCTCCTGCGCTGCGTGTGGTCCCAGATGTGTCTTAGCAGCGTTTGGCATGGGCCTAGCCCAAAATCTGTACTGAGGCTAAGTCTGTGGCACCCAAGCCACGAAAAGATAAAGGATGCGTATCTTGCATGCTTGCCTAAATTGACTCATTTGTGTCTTTGTTGACCCCACTCTGGTACTAAACAAGCGCCCCATAGCTGTGGCTGTCACGTACGCCAGGCCCATCTGGTGCGCACCCTCAGGCACGAGATGGGCGAGTTGTGAGAATGGGATCGCTACTTGAAGGGTTCAATTTTCTGTAAGGAGCTGTTGAAATCCGAGGTGGAGATACATATCTTTGCATGAGAGTCATCACTCTCATGCTGCAGTCCCAGAGCCCGAAATCCCAAGTCCAAGTTTTGCCAAAGCAAAGACCACATGGAACTCGCTGAAAAGTCAATCCCATAGCGCAGAATGCACAACATTGGCACTCTGTTGCGAAGAATTTTATCAATGTATTCTCAGCTCTGTCCCATTGGTGTGGTTTTGTTTTTAATCTGCCTCCGCCTAGAATCCTCGTACAGGCCTACAATGCGTACCTATGGTCCCGATCATCCTGAAGAGGAAACGCCTGACGCGGTTCCAGCGACCTCGCCAGGCTCTGGCTCTCTGCGGGCCTCTGGACTGCACTGTGGAGCCACAAGGAAGATGAAAGCAACCCACACATGAGGGTTGTAGGGGTGTCAAGCAGTCCTGGTAGGACTCGATCTTTGTGTTTTCGTCGCAGTTGCGTCATCATCACTAGCCTCGCAGTTGCGAATGGTGGCGGCGCAATCTGAGTGGCAGTGGCAGTAACATTTGGATCATCCTAGCTTTTAACTTTTAACTAACATGAGCGCCTGCCTCCAACAAGCAGAACAAGTTGGGTTTTTGGTTTTCCATTGCTTTGAACCACAAGGTGGGACATTCGAGCATTTCTGTCGCAAGATGCGCAGTATGTTACATTCGAACCCGCAGTTTTGATGAAAACGATGGCCCCAAAACAATGATGTATTGATGTTTTCCAGGCTGGTGAATACCATTGGTACACCTCATGTTTTTTTGCAGTTCCAATCTAAAAAAGGGTCCTCTAGCGCCTTCTGCAATTTGTATCCAGAGGTTTCTTGGGATTCATTCAAGTCCGGTGTTCGATGTCAACGCGCTGAGCTCCCCAACCCTCGTTTCTAAAGGGTCTCATGAGCCTTTATGCCTCAGCTAGCTACACAAACCCTCCATAAGCCTTACACTTTCAGCTATCGCAGAACCGAAGACAGCTGAGGTCCCACTCTGAAGCCTTGATGGCGGTCAAGGATTCCCATCTTTCATTTGTTGCGCAGTGATTGTGTGCAGTACAAGCTCACAAGGAGGCCACGTGTAAAATTGCGCCACCTTCAGAATAATCCTTTAAAGCTCGAACTGTCCTCGTCTGTCGTGGCGGGCAAGTTGTTGGACCTGTGTGTGTTGTGTATGGTCCAGGCCCTCATTTATGCGCTTACTTTTGGTCTGGAATGGCTCTCTTCAGCTGAGCATGAGATCCAGAAGCCCTGAGGCAGAAGGCAGCACCGTCTACAGTTTAGATTTCCCATATTGCTTCTTGAGATTTCGCGAGCTCGTGCTTTTTTTGCTCTTTTTTTCTTGTTTTGTCGAGACTGAACCCTAGCCTTTTCATTGGTCTCTTGGAGACCTTTCAATGCGGATCCCAAAGATGGTTGTGGTTTGAGAGACACAATCGTTAGAAGCTAGAATAGTAGAATCGCTTTTGCATGCAATCCCAACAATATCCCCCAAAGACGCCACAGGACGGTTGCAGCTTGCAGCACCTCTCCTTCCAGCTCTGCACGCCTGAGCTCCAGGACTCAACGAGTCTCGTTCCTTTGAGGGAGGGCCCTGCGCACCCTTCTGCCTTGTGAAGCTTTGTTTGCGGTCGTCTTTGTGCAGGCGCGCAAGGAAGAGGAGAACGTAGAATTGTCAAGAAAGCTGCAGCTTCGAGTGTCAAGTTACAACAACAGTTGTCCAGCCCTGCCAAGCTTACGCAAGACATTGTGCAGTTGTTCAGTCTGCTCCTCGTGCGAGCACCCTTGTGAATTTGAAGAAGGGCGTGATGTAGTATATGATAACCTTTTGCAAGTTTGATTTGACCTGTTTGACAGGAGCAGCATGGTGCAGCAGAGTAGCCTAGAAGCATTGAAGAGTAAACCAGGGAAAAAACCATGATCAACGCCCAATGATGATCAAGATCGGTCATGTGCTCAGCGCTGCGCCGTATCCGAGCATCCCTGGCTTGACCTACTCAATCGTACAGACCATCCCATCTTTGGACAATGCCAATTTGCTTAGGTTTTTGTTATGGAAAGTCACATGTCTTAGGTACTTCGACCTTGGCAGCACCCTCGTCATCCAGTCGAGCCGCAGTCACTTGAAACCTAGCCAAGTCAGCTTGACACATTGAAGAGCATGCCTACGCATAATCTTCGTGACAAGATCGTGCGGAGAACCTTGTTGTTATTGTCGTCATTTTGCAATCGCCTCCGGCACAGCCCCTACTATCACTACAGTCGTCAGTACATTCCGTTTTGAATGTATTGTGACACAAAAGGTTTCTCCAAGAAGGGTAGGCGCTTTGGATGATGGTTGGAAGCAAGCGTGCTAGCGAATAAGCGTCCTAGAAGCTAGGCTCTCTTATCCACTCCATCATTACGGGGATAATTTCGGCATCAGTGTGGGTGTGAGCAGGAAGTTGTTGGCTAACCCGTTCAGAAAGCTGTTTGCTGCAGATCTTGGGGACAATTTTGAACAGCCCATTTGCAGAGTCTCGTGAAATGTATCTTGTCGCGCTGCTGCATCCCAGGAAGTTCGAAAGTCCGGTTGTGGAGATGCGTATGCGCCCAAAGCTGGAGAACAGTGTTGATGGCAGCTGGTCAGCTGTCAGCCTGCCTTTGTGCTTCATGCTTGTGCATGTATTTTGTTTGAGCTCAAATAGCAAATTCCAGGTGTTGATGGATTCAGTGCTGCACGCTCTTACTTAACTCTATCCACAGTTGGACGCTAAAGCCGAGTCACTGCAGCCCTGATTCAACTAAGATTAGCTTTCATGTGGCAGTTTGTGATCAAGGGGTCGTTGGAACCCAAGATAAGCTCCCAATCGAGCCAGCCAGAGTGTATTCAGGTCACCCCACCCCTGCTTAGCCGACAAATCCCTAAGCCTTGGATCGCAAAATTCCAATGCCATGCTTTCTCTCCATTCCTCTTGCTTGTTGGTGAAAAATGCTACTGGTGTTCCTCTACTATGATTTGAAAAATTTTCTACACGGCATCAGAAGGAGAGCCAATCTCTCCGAGGAGTGTGGGCGCGCTGCGCGCAGGGCCTCCACCTGCTTACGCGTGATGCAGATGGTGAGTACGCTCTGCATGGCAGCTGATTAGCAGCACTTGGAACCAAAAACCATCTCCAAGCCCTACAAATGCTGCCTAAATCCCCAACATTCCCGAACCCCTCAACGTGCATGAACGAACACCTCCGCATTTTCCTTGAGTCTGAGGGTCTTAGGTCTTGGGCCCACCGAGCATAGTCACGTCTCTAAATCATGAGTCCCCCGTCTTATGGACGGAGTCCAGTCTTTTTTTGGCTTTGAAACCTTGAGATCCCATATCTCAAACAGAAGGTTTGCACATTTCCCTCAGGAGAAGTGTTTGAAAAGACGACGTACCACAAGGGTCCATGCCTTTTCACCTTTCCGGACGTAGTATGGTTGGGGTTTACGCTCTGGAAGTTTAGGAGTCAGGGCTTGGGGACGGCCCAAGAAGACATACTGAGCTTCATGGCTTGCAGCAAGCTCGTTGGCAGTTTTCAACCTGTGATGGGGCCTTGTACAAGCTGTTCTTGTCAAGCATGCAGGTGCTGCAAACTGGC